ATGCATGTGGACGCGTTAAGTCGTCTAGAGAAAAGAAGTGGAAGATCGCATGGTGTGTGTCCTGTAACAATAAATCAAGTAGATTCTCCGTTACCCAGCTTACGATTGATCCAAGAAGAACAAAGTCATGTACCAAATACGGAAGTTCAACGTTTCGGTCTCGTGTTAGAGCAAGGGTTACTGTTCCACCCGAAGGGTGATTCCAATCATTGGTCACTTTCACGAGAGCGGGGTCGGGACCCGTTGTGGAACGGTACGAACTTTCAAGTCCTGTCAGAGATTATTTTGGTGGCCAAAGCAAATGCAACGGGTGCAGCTCTATATAAAGTCATGTCTGATTTGTCAACGAAGCCGTTGTGGTACAGAGCGATTTCAAGGACTAATGCGTTCGTTTCCAATTAATCAAGTCTTCGAGAGCATACATATTGATTTCTGGGCACCCTCAAGTTGTCAAGTTGTAATCTTAACTATGATAGATAGAACATCAAGATGGGCAGAAGCTGTTATTGTTAAACATAAAACTGCAGACACAGTGGCTTCAAGTTTTATTAAATCCTGGGTTCCATATGGAGTTCTAAAGGAGATTATTTGTGATAATGAAAAGTCTTTCCACGGACTGATGATGAGGGAGTTGGCCAAGCTTATGGGTACAGAACTTGTAGCTATTACCCCTTATCATCCTCAGGGTAATGCCCTGGTTGAATCCTTTCATCGGCATTTAAGGAAGCACTTCGATAGGATCAGACGGACGGGTGGTTTAGATTTAGAGGAGGTATTGGCGCTTACAATGTGTATGTATAGGACTAGCTACCATACGGCACTTGAAGACACACCAGGTCGTTGGCTTTTTGGTGTCTCAGTGACCATACCGGAAGAGCGGGAAATTGATGATTTAATGTTTGACACAAACGCTAGTCGAATTGAGTGGTTGCAGAAAGAGAGGGGTCAAACTCTCGAACGAATGAGACTCTGAAAAGAATATTTGGAAGAGGAACGAACAGCGAAGAAATACCAAAGTCAAACGAGGGATGCTAGTCTTACAAAAAGATCCAGATCAAGTGGGCAAGAAACTCTGGAGTTTACCCAAGAAGCTGACTTCTGTAAGTGAGTTAGGCTATCGGGCACGAGTTCGAGACATCGGTTCCGGAAAAGTTCAAGAGCGACATTGGAGTCGATTAAGACCCATTGATCCTCCTAAGAATCCAGAACAATTCAACTCTTGGTTGAATGAATTTGGTCAGGAAGGAATTGAACTAGGAGACAAAGATCTTTTAGAAGAATTAGGAGCTGAGACCCAAATCCCACAAGTTTCTCCTTCTTTAGAAGACTCACCCGTACAGGATTCGAATTTGTTTGATGAGTCGGAGGCAGAACAAATTGAAGAAAGGCGAATCGCGTTACCTGGTCTAAGTAGCGGTTTGTTCCGTTGGCGCGAGCGCGGGAGGCTATGGAGCGAATCACGTAACGCGGCAGATCTTGTGGATATTCTAGGGGTGCTATGT